CCTCCATGTTATTACATAACTATTACATGGCTATCATGTAATTTTTCAGCGTGATAATGACATCTTTGCTACGACCTCCACGATTGTATGCTTTCAAAGCCTTATTGAGGCGTAGGTCGTTGTTATCATTCAACTTCAGTTTTTTTAGACTAACTCTGAACGTTCCGTCATTGAGCTCAGAAGAGGCAGAGAGAAACAGTAGGAATGACACAAAGAGAGAAGAAACAATTGTAGTAGAGTGTGTTCCCATTTCACCCTATTCCTTTGATATCAAGCACCAACAAGAAATTTAAGGAGAGTAACATTATATAGAATTTGATCATCATATACTGACTGATCAAAACATAAAGAAAATTGTACAAGTTCTATAACAATAATAATTCTACAAGTTACTCATCTAATCGCAGGGTAGACATTGATGAAGTAATAATCTTCATAACAGAATTGTCAATTTACTATAAATTTCAGATGATAAAGACTTTTTGTGCTGATGATATTGATAAGTGATATATAACTCGACCGTGACAAGCCTAATACAAAATGATAAGAGATAGCTAAAAAAGAAAACTCACTTAACAACAGTGGAGAAGGAATGGAGGATAATAACAAGTGAACTATGACTATGAAACTTTCAACTTATATATAAATCTTTTTCAGGACCAAAACCCTTATCGTATACCTCGATCCCCTCTTTCTTTCTTTATTCAGCTCACATCTTCTCCAAACATAATTTTTTTATTAAATAGTCATGTTCTAGTACTCTATTAATTGTTTTAAGTCATAGTGTCCTTTGGTTGGCATTATGAGTCAATGGAAAATAAAGGAGTATATTATGATTATTTAGGCGAAATTTATCCAAATATTTTCTACCGAAAACTGATTAAGTAATGTGAATCTACACGTTTTAATTATACTTTATATTTACATCGTTATATGACGACTAAGTGGCGAAGTTGAGAAGGTATAAAAATTAGCTACCAGATTATCCCGCCTTAGAACGTGGATCTTATTATCCAGATTTACGAAGGCATGGTGGTCCATAAAGAAATATTCAGGCGGTGGGACCGTAGTGAACGGTATTGCGGGATTCGAAGTCAAATCCAGGTTAATGGGGGAGAGTTAAAAATCGAATTGGTCAAACCGAAAAATTGCGACACCACTAAAAATTGAAATTTTGGTTTGGAAAACCCTAGGGCTCGTTTTATAACACGAGCAGCCTCCTTCTATGCACGAAAATCAGAGATTGAAGGAGATTTTTGGTTGAGCTTATTCCTTTAGGCTTGTTAAAAGCTAGATTAAGGCTGTAGGAGCAAAAAGGGATCGAGTGTTGGTGATTTCGAGAGAAAGAAGAAGAAATCAAAGGTTATTAGGTTGTGAAGGGTCTGATTTCGTGGTTTGTCGCTATCTTTGTCTAGTTTCCGATCAAAAATCAAGGTGAGTGTGTGACCATGGCTTATCTGGTGGATAGACTGTCAAGATAATTTGTTGTTTGTGTGGAATGGTTATTTGATTAATTTGGAGGATTTTTCTTTGTGTATACGTGCTGTTTTCGTGTGTTTTGTTGATGTTTTTTTGCAGGCATCGACATGGTGCATGCTAGAAATCGAACCAGAGAGGAGAAAGTTCGATTCAGGCGACTCTGCAGCCAGTGTCGATTGACACTAGCATTTGTGGTGTCGGTTGACATAGGTGGTGTCGTTCGACACCAGGCGGGTGGCGATCGACACCAGACGTTTTGGCATCGTTATGTGTTTGTTTTGATGAATTGATTTATTGTGTGTCTTGGTAATTAATCG